TTAAATGTATTTTTTAAATTATGTATGCAATTAATTATAAGAAATTTAATGAATTAGAGTTTGAATTTTAGAAATTTTTTCCTTTAATATGTTTTAGTTTAGATTTATTCTCTTGATTTAGCCAATATCTTTCAAATTTGATTTTGTTGTAGGATGATTAATATGTTAAATAGATTTAGTTCAAGTGAATATTTTAATCTTACCTTTTAATGATTATGCGTGTTGGTTGTGATTTAATTGATAAAAATTAAAGATTTAAATCTATTTTATTTGGATAACGTATGAGTTTATTAGGAGCTTTCAATTATTAACTTGTTGTTACCTATGATTAATTAAGTTTAGATAAGTACACTAATCCTATGCTGGAATATCAATATTTTTTATATGTCTAGTGTTTCTACCATAAAGGGTGCATATATTCTAAGTCTAAATATTCTAGGACTCATCTTTAATTTTTGTCTTTAAATTTCACTAGTGTTGCATGTGATGAAAAAGATTATTTTGTTTTTAACTCTGGATATACACTCGTGTGTAAATGAGTTTAGGAATCTAAAATAAATTAAAACATCCTAGTTAAAAAAAATGAAATTTTTACAAGGTCCTAAGGTTGGGGGCGCGCACTCTAAAAGGCTCCATAGGGGCTTTTTAAGTTTTGAGAAAACTTACAACACATGGGGCTATGATTCGTTGGCTCTGCCCGTAGCACCCCCACTAGAATGAATGAGGGTGATTGATGTTTATATCCATTTGTCCAAGCTCCATCTAGATAGCTCCATTCTTTCCTTGCTTTCCCAAAAATTCATCGCAAAACAAAGAAAATAAGGAAGATTGTGTTAGAGCATGTTAATATTTAATATGTAAATAATAAAAAATAAATACAATTTAAATAACAACGTACCTTTTTTCGGGCTTGCATACAAGTTGAGTCGTTTGACTTTTGAATCTTTCAATTTTGTAAGTATTTTATCATATTTCACCTCTTAGAACAAGTAGGAAAGAAGTGATAGAGAAAGAAGGGAGAAGAGTAGGAAAGAAAGGTAGAAGGAGAACCATTAATTGTTTACACTTTCTAACAACCATCCAGCAACTCATATTCCCAACGCATTTCTTCTCCAAACATCCATAAGACCCTCTAAACAACTATCTCTTTTACTCATGTAAAGAAATGCATTCTACCATAGCATACTTCTCACTGAAAGCATTCATAACTATATTAAAGCTACAAAATATTTTCAAAAAAATCATCATAATAAAATCACACACATACGAGAGTGAGAGTCATAGCTATACTTTTCGAAGCCCAACAACAAGCAACCAAATCATTTAATGTTGAAACTCAACTAAAATGTAATCATAAGAAAGAATATTTGATACCAACTTGTTCTTCGCCTATTTGAAGAAAATATGCCAACAACATAAACAATGTTTAAAATTGCGTAATCAGGTATTGAGGCGTTTTTCATTCGTGAGGCGTAAGCCTTAAAATCAAAAAATTGTGTAAATATAAAATGATAAATTTTGTATATACTAATGAGTAAATAATCTATAATATATGAAGTGAAATCAAAATATCCAATAATAAGACAACATGAGTACAATAATATACCCGTCTTCCGCTGCCCCCTCACAAAAAATTTTTTATTGTAAGAGTAATTTTTAAGTTCTACTTGTTTTTAAAGTTCGTAAGTTGTTTGTATGGAAAGATACCGAGCGGTACCAAGCATGTACCGAGTATGTACTGAGCAGTAACGAGCATGTACCTGCTTGGTACCGAGCATGTACTTAGTGGTACCAAACATTGTTGTATCTAGCAGTATCGAACATGTATCTAGCGGTACCGAGCATTAGTTTTTTTAAAAAATTTTAGAGGAGGACGCCTCTTAATCGTGAGGCGAGGTGCGACTTGATGTGCGCCTCAGTAAACTTGAGGCATACGCCTCAAATTCTGAACTCATTGTGTGGACTTTGAGGCTTAAAGAGGCAAAATTGCGTTGAAGCATGCCTCTTATTGCGCAATTTTAAACCTTGCACATAACTGCATGAATTTATTCGTCAAGTTTAAGAAAAGAACCCAACAATACGATATAACATTGAATTGATTTGATGGAGAAACTTACACTTGAAGCAGAAGGCATATGATTACTTTCCAACAAAATTTTCACCTTCATGCTATATGTCGCCAAGATATCCAAAAGAAAATCGCATTTGTATCCAATGTTTAAACACAAAAAAATGTATGAATTTCTCCAATCACCACATGAAACTATGCATTTATACATTAAATACATGATTTTGCAATATAAGCGTGAGCATGATCTATCCAACAAATCTCCATGCCAAAACCACCTTCCAAATAAGAAGTTCATTTCGAAAGAAACCCATCTCGAGGCAGAGCAATGCAATCAACAAAATCCTTCACAAAAAGCTCCTCTAAATAGAGAAAACCACATCTATGGTCCATAGGCTCAAACAATCCTTGAACTATAAGAAGCACCTCGCTAAATAATTATTCTTTCCAAATGATTTGAAGTCAAATGTCCCAAATTATCACTTAAAATTGAAAGAAAGTAGGGTAATGTCAACTTTCTCTTCATATATATATATATATATATATATATATAGAGAAACCGAAAATCAACAATTCTTGATTGCAATATTGTAGCAAAAGCAATCTTACATTGTTCTATCTCAAAATCAAAGTTCCACGATTCACTTCATATGTTAAATGATTTGACTCTCAGTATTCCCCAAACAAAGATAACGAGCTCCATAAACTTGTCATCCAACATTTTTTAAGAGAAGCCAAAGATATAAGCACATCAATCATTGCTATGTTTCCCATCAAAACTACATCGAAGAAGGAAGAAAGAGATACATCTACTTAAGCAATTGATACAAAAGAACGTTTAGATAAATCATCTCTTCCACCTAGTCATAAGCATTAATGAAAATTTAGATCATTTGAACAAAAATTTGTAAACAATAGTTGGTTGGTGAATTAAACAAATGTTCACCTCAATTCTTCCCTCAACTTACTAACATGCAAGGAATTTGGGCACCGAAGCAAGCACAATGGGGAAGCATATTGTAAAGAAAACCTATCAAATAATGCTAAAACAACGACGGCAAAATCTGAGAGCAAAATATTTCTCTACTTACCAAGAACATTTTCTTTACTTACCAACTACATATGATATTTATTGATTTAGAGAAAGCATATAATAAAGTTCCAAGAGAAGTGCTTTGGAGAGTTCTTGACAAGAAAGGAGTTAATTATGTAATCAAAAAATTGGGAGAGTGCCCCAAATTTTTTATCACAAAAGAAAGAACTTTTCTAAGTAATAGAAAAGACACAAAAGGACACAAAATAGGATCAAAACAAACTTTACTTGTATAAAATGAAAGACTTACAACTCTTAAAATTAAAACTACTTACAAACAAAGACTCTTACAAACGACTCAAACAAGACAACCTAAACTTGCTTTCCAAAGGAAGAGGGATACATGTGAGGTGGTCACTTGCAGAGAGACGAAAGAGGTTAGAAGCCAAGACGAAGGAGGAGGAGAAGCTCGCAAGCTTTCCTAGAGGAGAAGGAGAATGGAACAAGCTCGCAAGCTTTTCCACGAAGAAACCCGCAGGTTATAGCTTCCAAAAATCACATTTTCACTTAAAATAGTCACAAACATCACTATTTATAGGCACAAAAGAAGGAATACAAACAGTCCCAAAACATTAATTAAAAGCTGAAAATAGAAGGCTAAAAGACACCTAAAAACTGCAGTAGAAAATTGCACAGATATTAGCAAAAATCTCTTGGAATTCTCCCCAAAACAGCCCCAAATCAGTCCCCATAAAGCTGTCCAAATTCTGTCCAAAAACAGCTCCAAAAACTCTTCAAATACTTAGTTAAATAAGGGAAATGAAAAGCCAACAGCCACCATACAGCAGTCCCAAAACTGCACAGGAAACAGAGCACCAAAGCCACGGGAAAAGCCCGCCATCAGCCACGGAAAACAGCCCAGCTAGGGATCAAGCAGGGAACCGAGGAGCCCAGCTGCAGGAACCAAGGGGGAAGGCATGGGAACTCTTCCCAGAACAGGAAACCAGCAGCCGGTCACGGAACCAAGGGAGCTAAGGCACGGGAACAGCCCCCAGCACAGGAAACAATCAGCCAATCGTGGAAACTGGAAACCAAAGAGCCAAGGCACGAAAACCCAAGAGCCATCCACGGTAAACGAATAGACAACAAATGGGGGAATGAACCTCAATTTATGAGCTAAAAAGGCTCTCTACTAGACATTAATGAGCTGATATCTAGTAGAGGAAAGCATTTATGAGCTTTAAACATAAGAAGAGGCTCATTAATGAGTTGATTCAAGTAGAACTTACAAAATTTTCAACTCAACTTGTTTTGACCCATTCCTTGCCTACATTAGTTAATAACGCTTATATTCAAATCATTAAAGATATGTATGCAGGAGCTATTAGTCGTATTCAAACACAAGGTGGTTTGACCAAGTATTTTCCTATTTCGGTTGGATTACATCAAGGATCAGCCTTAAGTCCATACCCTTTTGCTTTAGTCATGGATGTTCTCACTAGACATTTGCAAGGGGATGTACCTTGGTGTATGCTTTTTGTTCATGATATTCTTCTTGTTGATAAGACTAGAGAGGGAGTTCAAGGTAAACTTGAATTATGGAGGTCAATATATTAAATTATTCAATGTCATGAATTTTCAACAAATTTTACACTAGTTGTCGACTACCTAAAACAACCCTCCACTTTTCTCATCTAATACTTGTGACCTGGCAACGACAGTGTTTTTAACATTGCAGCTTGTTTTATATAAATATTTTATTTTATGTGCATATGAGCTCTCTTTCTTTTTTTCTCTCTCTATAACTGTTAATAATGGAGAGTACCTGAATGCCAAACGTTGAATTTTACATGTATTGATCTTAAGATGTTTCTAACATCCATGTTTTGGCCTTTGAAGGTTCTAATGAAGCAGGCTGGTCTAAAGCTTCAGGACAATGTATGTATAATGAAAATATGCTTCTTTATTTAAAGCATCATTTTTAAAAAAATTTTAAGAATGCTATATAGTTGGGCACCAGATTTGAACAACATTTCATCATCAGATTGATAAATTCTAAGGAGCATTTGTTGAAGGAAAATGTAATCTTGATTTCATTATTGCAGCTCATGAGATCATTCATTCCATCACTGCAAATATATTCTTTTATCTTTTTTTTTTAATGGTGGATTTTGATAAGACTTTTGATTGTTATAATTGGAACTTTATTTTTAATTGAGGTAGATTCTTTCCTCCTAAATTTATTCAATGGATTTGGGAAGCTGTAGTCCATGCTAATTCTCATTGTTATTGATGGAGAACTCAATAAATAATTTAAATACTTAAAAGCACTCATGCAAGGGGATCTTCTCTCTCTTGCTTATTATTATCAATTGAGATTATCTTTTTAACATGCTTGTAGCTATAGCCAAGGGCAGTTAGATTTAGTGCAGCACATGTGGTAAAAGTAACATTGTGATCAACAATATTCAATTTGTTGGTAATACTCTACTCTTTTGTGATGTGGATCATACTCTTGTCTTGGCTCTTAAAAATATAATTTCTCCTCTTTTCAAAAGTATCTGGTTTCAAAATTAACTTCCGTTAAACTTGGATTTATCTTGGCATATATGTTGATAAAGGGCATTCCATATTGTTCATGTTTTATGTTCTCGTGAAAAACTTTTAAATATTTGGAGCTTCCTATGGGTTCTAATTGATTGCAAAAAGTCCTTTAGACTTTAATTATTGATTAAATTTGAAGAAAGAGAGAGTTCTCTTCCTGGAAATATGAACCTCCTTCTATTGGTGAGAAAATTGTTTTGATTAACTCAGGTTACCTTCTATTCTTCTAAACTTTATCTTTTGGATTTCAAATTGGTCATCAATAAAATGATCATTGATGAAGTTTCTTATGGAAATGTAATATTAAAGATAAGGGCTTCTCCTTAGTTAACTAGAAGAACATCTTTAGGCCCAAAAAAATTTTACGAGCTTGATGTCAAACATGTCTGTACATGGAATATTTCTCTTTCTTGCAGAATGGAGTTGAAAATTTATTCAAGTGGACTCAAACTTTGATTAATACTTACGCAATTGACATTTGGATGTGTGAAGCCTTTCATGATTCGCATTTCATTAAGGATGTTAGAAAAAACTTCTCAATTCTTTTCATAATGTTTCTTGGATAATGATGCAAAAACAAAACTTTGAAAGATATATCGATTTATAATTTGGCTTTTGCTAAGTTTCATCCCATTCTTTTTATGTTGCTTGAAATCTTCATTCTCCTTTTCTTCTCTTTGGCATATAAATTTAAAAAGGGCCCGGTTTCTTCACATCGTTAATTATATTTTACTCTTTATGTTGATGAGGGCATAAAAAGTTGAGTATAAACATTGACTCTCCAAAGTGTTTGCTCTCTATGATGATTTTCTTTCAAACAATTATTGTTATGCTCCCTTAATGCTTAGTGGTATTATCACTCTTCCTTATAAGTGGATTTGGAAAGTTTTAATGCCTTTAAAAATTTGATGTAGAACTATGAATGCTTTAAATGATGGATATAAAAATTTATGCGCTTTCAAGTAAGAGCAATAAAATAATTAAATCGTTGGCCAATTAATGAAAATGGAAAACAAGAAAGGGGTGCCTTAGTTTAAGGCCAAGTCACAAAATAAAAGTTAGGGTCGCAAAACAATTATAAAATTCAATATAAGGAAATATATATGATTTCTAATATCATCCCTAGATTAACAATGAGATTAGATACATAGAAGTCAATCACTCATTCCCTATGTTTACTAAGCTTTGGCGGAGAGCTTTGCAAGATTCTTTATGCTTGATACACAACCACAATGGAAGGAGAACATGAAGGAAAATGAGGGGGAAAGAGTTCACCCTTGTCTTGGCTTGGTGATGATCTGCCACTGAACGGTGGGAAGTTGTTCTTCGATAGCGTTCGAAAGAGTGAATATGATGCACTCCTAAGTATTCCTCGACGGAATTGTCTACCTCTTGATTGATGTCGAAGAAGGGTGATCGGACGATGTTAGCGAAGCCTTGTTCGTTGCAGACAAAATTGGAGTCGTGTTCAGGATCGGTCATGCATAAGATATATGGTGTTGAAGTACTGTGGATGACGCTCTTTGCTGTCTTTGAGGATTCTCTTTGCGAGAAAGAAGTTTCTCCAAGGAATCCAAGAAAAAGAAGGGATGGGAGGGTGGTCGACCAAGGTATAGGGGGTAGGGATAGTTTAGGTTCAGATTTTGGTGGAGTTAGGGTTAGGGTTAGGACCGGCTAGGTTTTAGAGGGAAGTAGAGAAATATGGTTCATATTTGAAAGGTGGAGGATGGAGGGAAACTAGGTAAAATATTTCCTTAATTAATCCTCTTGATTTGGGAGGATTAATGAGGGATTGGAGAGAGAGGTGCAGCTGGTAGGAGAGGGAAGAAATTTGAATTAATTCCCCAATGGGAGAGGCTTCCGTGGTTGGACGGTGGAAAAAGCCTGTCAGTTGTTAGGGAGGAAATTGGGTCGGCGGTGAGGGGAAGTGGAGCAGGAAAAGAAAAAAGATAGCAAGGAAAACCAAGAGCTCACCCGATGGTGGCTATTGGGTACTTTGTTGGGCTTTTCTTAGGTTTCGCCTCTCTAAACTCTCTGAAACTCTTCCAAGGAACACAAATGCAGAAATTTTCTGTAATAATTCTTCATTACTTGAAAAGAAACATAAGTTGCTTATATATAGCCTTATATAATGAAAGAGAACTAAAAGACAACGTTGCCCCTAGGGCTTACATATAACCAGACCCTTAAGGGTAAAAATGGAAAATACAAACTAGTGGTCGTAGATCGTCGGGCACATCTCTGATATACTTTATATGATTAGAAGTCCTCATCATTCTCCTGGGGTGTAAAAAGCTCGACTTCGTCGAGTAAGCGTCCTAGGTGCTCTTGTAAATCTCCAATGCTTGGGTTCTGACAGGATGGAGTCACACAAGGCTTCTTTTGAAGTGGATTTGGTGGGTTAAAATCTGGGCCCTCATATGCTACTAGATTTTCTATGTTAAAAGAGGTATTGATATTGAATACTGCAGGCATATTCACCACATAAGCATTATCATTGATTTTCTTAATTATTTTGAATGATCCCATACCCTTAGTGTGTAACTTCTTAACTGTTCCTTACGGGAATCATTCCGGACGAATCTGCACCATCACTGAGTCACCAATCTCAAAAGTTTTAAATTTTCGTTTAAGGTCAGTATGAAGTTTATAATTATTATTGTTTTGTTCAATTCGGCGTGCAATCTCTTTATGAAGTTCATACAAATGTGATGCAAATGATGATGCAGACTAAAAAATCCTATAGTTAGAAGACATGGGTATGAGATCTAAAGGCTGTCTAGGCTTATACCGATAAACGATTTCAGCAAGACATAGATCCGTGGTGTGGTTAACAGAGTTATTGTAGGCAAATTCGGCTGTGGGGAGTTTGTAATCCCAATCCTTAATGTGCTCACCTACTAGGGATCTTAACAAATTACCTAAACTCCTATTGACTACTTTAGTCTGACCATCTGTTTGAGGATGAAAGATTATAAATAATTGCATTTTTGTGCCCATTTTCATCCAGAGAGTTTTCCAAAAGTAACTGGTGAACTTGACATCCCTGTCAGACCCAATGATTTTGGGTAATCCATGTAATTTGACAACCTCATTGAAGTACAGTTTGGCGATATGGGAGGCATCATATATCTTGGAGCAGGGTAGGAAATTGACCATTTTGGAAAATCGATCAACTACAACATAGATGACATCATTCCTACGAATAGTTTTGGGCAAGCCTAAGACGAAATACATGCTGACATCTTGCCACGGACAGCTGGGAACAGGTAGAGGGGTATAGAGACTAGTATTTTGTTTGCGTTGCTTGGCCAGTTCGCAAGTGTGGCACCTGCTGACCATTTTTCCAACATCCCTCTTCAGACTGGAGAAACGTTTTTCTAGCAAAGAGAATTAAGTGGCTAACGTTTTGTGATCCTAACTATTATTATTTGACTTGGCCTAAACTAAGGCACCCTTTCTTGTTTTCAATTTTGGTTAAGTGGCTAATGTTTTAATTCTTTTGTTGCTCTTACTTGAAAGTGTGCAAATTCTCATATCCATCATTTAAAGCATTCATAGTTCTACATCAAGATTGCTTTCTTTGGATGTTTTTTTTGGAAGGTTCCTACCGAATTTCTTCTACCTGTTCGAGCTTCATTATTTCCACTGACTGTGTTTGTGTAATCCCTCTTGGTAGATGATTCTCACGTGTTTTTTAAATTTAAATTTCCATTCATTATTTGGATGCATCTCTTTTTTTTTTTTAAGTTACTGTCAAATACCATCCCAGCCATTCCATCTGCCCCTTCCATCTTGATCCTATGGCCAACATGGGGATCTATGTGAGGCTCACCTAGATCACCCTAATCTCCTTCGTTCATATTTGAGTGGTTGATTTAGGAAGGATTATATTAGTGCAATTATGCATTATTTTGTAATTATTTTTTTTTCGTTCCACTCCTTATTGCGATCAAACCAGAGGGATCAGAGGTCTTGATTGCACTTGTACTAGGCCGATCAAAACAGGAGTCTGTTCAGGTGGAATCAGACGGCCTCGTAAGGAGGAGATCTAAGTGTCGAGTGCTAAGTTGCTTGATACTTGCCGCAACTCTGAAAATAGATTTGTTTTCTACTGTTGTGCCTTTATTACTAGCCTTCCTCAAAACCTTAATACAATAAAGACTCCATTTGGTGCAGCTATTGCAAGAAATCAAAACACAATAAACCTGCTGGAAGTTACATGGAAAGCCCCCAAGGAGTGGAATTAAACAAGTAAATAAAAGGGGACATCACAAACTAACACAACAACAAGCCATCCCAATCTAGAAACACAATCAATTTTTAGAGAGCTC